AGGCCGAGGCGAGGGCCCAGGAGGAGGCCGCGAGGAGGGCCCAGGAGGAGGCCGAGGCGAGGGCTCGAGAGGAGGCCAGAGCCAGGCGGGAGGCCGAGGACAGGGACCGCCAGGAGGCCGAGGCGAGAGCGAAGCAGGAAGTCGCGAGGAGGGCGCGAGAGGAGGCCGAGGCGAGGGCTCGGGAGGAGGCCGAGGCGAGGGCCAAGGAGGAGAACGAGAGGAGGGCCCGAGAGGAGGCAGAGGCGAGGGCGCAGGAGGCCGAGAGGAGGGCCCAGGAGCAGGCCGAGGCGAGAGCCAGGATGGAGGCCGAGCGGAGGGCCCAGGAAGAGGCAGAGGTTAGAGCCAAGGAGGTGGCGGAGAGGAAGGCAGCGGCCGAGGCCGAAGCGAGAGCGAAGGAGGAGGCCGAGGCGAGGGACAGGGAGGAGGCCGCGAGGAGGGCCCAGGAGGAGGCCGAGGCGAGGGCTAGGGAGGAAGCCGAAAGGAGGGCCCAGGAGGAGGCCGAGGCGATGGCCAGGGAGGAGGCCGCGAGGAGGGCCCAGGAGGAGGCCGAGGCGAGGGCCAGGGAGGAGGCCGCGAGGAGGGCTCGAGAAGAGGCTGAGGCGAGCGCCAGGGAGGACGCCGAAAGGAGGGCCCAGGAGGAGGCCGAGGCGAGGGCCAGGGAGGAGGCCGCGAGGAGGGCTCGAGAAGAGGCCGAGGCGAGGGCTAGGGAGGACGCCGAAAGGAGGGCCCAGGAGGAGGCCGAGGCGAGGGCCAGGGAGGAGGCCGCGAGGAGAGCCCAGGAGGAGGCCGAGGCGAGGGCCAGGGAGGAGGCCGCGAGGAGGGCCCAGGAGGAGTCCGAGGCGAGGGCCAGGGAGGAGGCCGCGAGGAGGGCTGGAGAAGAGGCCGAGGCGAGCGCCAGGGAGGAGGCCGCGAGGAGGGCTCGAGAAGAGGCCGAGGCGAGGGCCAGGGAGGACGCCGAAAGGAGGGCCCAGGAGGAGGCCGAGGCGAGGGCCAGGGAGGAGGCCGCGAGGAGGGCCCAGGAGGAGGCCGAGGCGAGGGCCAGGGAGGAGGCCGCGAGGAGGGCCAGGAGGAGTCCGAGGCGAGGGCCAGGGAGGAGGCCGCGAGGAGGGCTGGAGAAGAGGCCGAGGCGAGCGCCAGGGAGGAGGCCGCGAGGAGGGCTCGAGAAGAGGCCGAGGCGAGGGCTAGGGAGGACGCCGAAAGGAGGGCCCAGGAGGAGGCCGAGGCGAGGGCCAGGGAGGAGGCCGCGAGGAGGGCCCAGGAGGAGGCCGAGGCGAGGGCCAGGGAGGAGGCCGCGAGGAGGGCCCAGGAGGAGTCCGAGGCGAGGGCCAGGGAGGAGGCCGCGAGGAGGGCTGGAGAAGAGGCCGAGGCGAGCGCCAGGGAGGAGGCCGCGAGGAGGGCTCGAGAAGAGGCCGAGGCGAGGGCTAGGGAGGACGCCGAAAGGAGGGCCCAGGAGGAGGCCGAGGCGAGGGCCATGCAGGAGGCCGCGAGGAGGGCCCAGGAGGAGGCCGAGGCGAGGGCCAGGGAGGAGGCCGCGAGAAGGGCCCAGGAGGAGGCCGAGGCGAGGGCCAAAGAGGAGGCCGAGGCGAACCGGGGGAAACGACCCACGGCGCAGAGCCTATGCGAAGCGCAGGGGCCCGCACAGGGCGGCCCAGAGGGGAGCCCTGCTCTGGAGTCGACGAGGCGTAGGAGTGACCTGTCGCCGCAGTGACCCTGGCATCGCTCGGACGTGTGCATTTTTTCTCGGCGAGGACCATCGAGGACCATCTTGTACCATCGAGAAAAAAACACGCACGAAACCGAAAAATGCACGGGAAACGGACGTCCGAGCGATGGCGAGTGACCTCTGGTGTGACCTCTGGTGCGTGCGTGTCGCGAAGCGGTGGCAGCGGCTTGCGCGCCCAGGTTTGGCCATCCCGCGTTCCTCCGTAGGCCGCGCCCCAGAGGTCGCTCCTGCCTGCGGTCACCCCTGCGTGCAGCCGATGGAGGAGGGTCGAAGGCTTGACCTCCCGCCCTCCCCAAGAGCTCTGGCGTTATATCTGTCTCTGGCTGCGAGATCCGGGCGTTGCCTTCTGTTTCACCCCGGGCGTGTGCGCCCATGTCGGGCCCCAGACCCACTGCAGATCGATCGGGCCCCGGAGGTGCAGCAGAAAGGTGTGGTGCAGGGGTTCGGTCGTGAGTGTCGGTGGTGTTCTTTCTCTCGCACCGTCGGCTCTCAGGAGTTGGGCACCACACTGCTGGGGCGCTACAGGTATCGGGAAACAAAGACTGCGCAGTAGCATCACGTGTCGAGGTCCGCGCGGATTGTGCGGGATCGGCGGCGAATCATGTTTGCATGAGCATACGGTCGGGATGTGTTGCTTAGCGTGTCGCCCCACCGGTTCTGACCCACCACGCCTCGGCGCGACACGTTATCCACTTCGCGCTGCCCAGGCGTTCACGTGCCGAGCTTTCCCCAGCCTCCCATCCAACGAACCAGAGCGACACGCCATCCGCTTGCAAG